TATTGGGAAGCCTGTCCATTAGGAGGATGGTATATTGGGAAGCCTGTCCATTAGGAGGATGGTATATTGGGAAGCCTGTCCATTAGGATGACAGTATATTGGGGAGCCTGTCCATTAGGAGGACGGTATATTGGGAAGCCTGTCCATTAGGAGGAAGGTCTATTGGGAAGACTGTCCAATAGGATGACAGTATATTGGGAAGGCTGTCCATTAGGAGGACGGTATATTGCGAAGCCTGTCCATTAGGAGGACGGTATATTGGGGAGCCTGTCTATTAGAAGGAAGGTCTATTGCGAAGCCAGTCAATTAGGATGAAGGTATATTGGGAAGCCTGTCCATTAGGAGGACAGTATATTGGGAAGCCGGTCCATTAGGAGGACGGTATATTGCGAAGCCTGTCCATTAGGAGGACGGTATATTGGGAAGCCTGTCCATTAGGAGGACGGTATATTAAGAAGCTTGTCCATTTGGATTGGTTTGGTTGTATTTAACAGCTTAGGTCATTTAAGGACATGCCTCCATTTATGTTGTCGATGCGTGCATGTATGTATGTGTGCTGGAGATATGGTATGTTGGTGTACTTGCCTCCTTGTGATTGTGCGGATCTGATGCCGACTTGATAGTGCTATCTCACTGAAATTCCATGCTGAAGGAACCAAACACAGCATTCCACCCGGTCACATTATACTGACAACGGGTAAACTAGTTGTTGCTATTACCCTTAATGCTGAATGTTTGGCAGGGAATAACAACTACCATTTTTAAGGACTTAGGTATGTCCCGGCCTGGGGCAAGATCCCATTGCCTTCCTCACCTGGGCGAACGCTCAACATTAAAGAACAAACGTGAGGTATTGCCAAGCAAGACACTAGGAAATAAAAGGTGGTTAGAAATAGTGAGAAATATTAAGATCCCAACTACATGTACATGCCTTGTTTTTCAAGTACATCTGACTAGTTAAGCCGAACATTCATTGGCTAACCACAAAATGGCGTCACTAATTCAAGATTGAAAAAGTTATCAAACACTATAATCTACCGGTAGGTGTCACTGCAAATATTTGCATATGAATCAAAAGTTATGAATGATGTACCATATAAGGTCATAGATGTCACTACTTTCGTTTCTGCAATTCCATGTTAAACAAACCTTTGTAGTATGGGGCGATCCCCAAGACACCTGCGTTACCGAACGCATAGGATAACCTGAAAGGATTCGGAACCGTGTAAATTAGAGATCTTGTATATCTAATTAAAAACAAACAATAAATGTCATTCATTTCAAGAAGGGTTCCCGTGTATTTTCGGTATTTCAAAGCATTATTTTAAAGGAACAATTTATATTATTTATATTATGAAACAAAGATAATAATTGTATGATACCGATTACATTGAAGAATCAAATTTACAAAGGTGTGATCGAGTGTTCGACTTTGTTGTTTATTAAGAAGTTTGAAAATCACAGACTTAACCAACATGTACACAGACTTTTAAGTGGCAAGGAAGTCATTCCAACAGTGTAGGCACTATAAAGCTATGAAGCAACCCATACCTTTATCAAGAAACAGGAAAACAAATTATTTACATTGCATGAGAACAAAACCGAGATATAATCAATATGTAAAAACAATATTCTTCTTGGATAGTGGCTGTGTACTTGTGATCAAGAAAAAATAGAAATTCCCCTTGACCCAAGGATGCTCCAGACTAAATAAGGATAAAATCCCTTAATCCTGATGGTCAAAGAAGGATTTTAAAGGTTTTACCTCTATTTCTCCTATTGGGCCCGCCCTTCTGCCCCCTGGGAGACCACACCCACTGCCCATACAAAATTGAGTCCCCTTGGCCCAATGATGCTCATGACTAAATTTGGAAAAATCCCTTAATAGGATTTTAAAGGTTTTACCTCTATTTCCCCTATTGGGCCCCTCCCTTCTGCCCCCAGGGGGGGGGGGGGCACACTCGCTGTTTATACGAAATTAAGTTCCTTTGCCTGAGGATGTTACAGACTAAATTAAGATAATATCCCTTAATCCCTATGGTAGAAGGATTATAAAGGTTTTACCTATATTTCCCCTATTGGGCCCTGCCTCTCAGGTCCAAGGTGGGCTACACCCACCGTTTATACAAAATTGGTTCCCCTTTACCCAAGGATGCTCCACACCAAATATGGACCAAATCCTTTCATTCCTACAGAAGAAGAAGGATTTTAAAGAATTTTTTATATTTCCCCTATTGGGCCCCACCCCTATGGCCCCTGGTGGGCCAGACTCACAGTTTATACAAAATTTGTTCCCCTTCCCCCAAGGATGCTTCTGACCAAATATGAAACAAATCCTTTTATTCATCCAGAAGAAGAAGGATTTTAAAGAATTGGCAATATTTCCCCTATTGCGCCCTGCCCCTCAGTCCCCAGGGCCAGACCCACCATTTAAACAAAACTTGTTCCACTTCCCCCAAGAATGCTTTTGACCAAATTTGGTCAAAAATCTGCTCATTCGTTCATGACTAGTATTTTTTTAAAGGAAAAGTTGATGGACGACGGACGCTGCGGTATGGCATCAGCACCATGGTCCTTCCGACCAGGTGAGCTAAAAATGGAGTAGAATCCCTCGAAATAACATTTTAGTAGGCAAATATATGGTAAATATCTATTCTTGCGAAAGACATGCTATCAAAATAAGTGATGGCTCACCCACTGGCTTCTACAAGTTAGAGTATGACACCAAGGAACCTGTTTGGGCCCTATCCTCTTCTTCATCTACATCAATGACTTCCACGAATACATGAAATACGGTACACTTAGACTATTTGCAGATGACAGCATCATATACAAGACAATAAACAACAAAGAAGACACACTAAAACTACAACATGACCTTGACGCAGCGGGACAATGGGAGGCGGACTGGTTAATGAAATTTAACCCTGACGAATGCAACATACTCGACATTGCACCGAAACGCAACAAAATACACCATGACTACAAACTCCACAACCACACTTTACACCAAGTAGAATCCAGCAAATACTTAGGCTTAACATAACAAAATAACCTACGATGGGACAAACATATAAACAACATTACAGCCAATGCCAATAGGTCCCTAGGTTTTCTAAACCGCAACTTAAAAATAAACTCACCACATATAAAAGAATACGCATACAAAGCACTAGTCAGACCAAAACTTGAATACTGCTCTTCCATTTGGGATCCACACAACACAAACCAAATTAAACAAATAGAAAAAACACAACGAAGAGTAGCACGCTACGTAAACAACAGATACCACAACACTAGCTCCGTAACAGATTGATTAAAAAACTACAATGGCCAACACTACAAACACGGCACTGTCAAACAGGGATGATCCTTTTTTACAAAATTGACACCAAATCGTAGCTATAAACCCAATATACATACTCACACCCGTAGACCCTCGAACCAGACATGCACACCCTCACGCATACAAACACATATCTGCAACAAAGGACACCTACAAATATTCATTCTTCCCACATACAATAACACAATGGAATCTCCTTCCCATAGCAGCAGTACAATGCACAACACTAGAGCTTCAAGGCACACTTACCCTACGCAGCCCTTGAAGCCCTCATCACACGCTAAAACATACGCCAACTTTTATCTTTTATCTATATACCTTGCAAAAAAAAATCACAAAAAAACGCCAACTAATCACTGTAAATTACCCCCTTTTTTCACGCTTCTGTGTTAGGACCCCCGAGGGCATACACATCACCATTGATGGAGCCCGTGTACCATTACAGGAAGAAGACTAACAGGCACAGATCTAGTGGACGAATTGTCTATTTCACAGTGTGTTGTACATTTTCTCTTTTTTGTTAAAATTATTTCTCCTATACTCACTTTTCTGATTATATATTTTTCGCAAAAACAGATGTTCACCACACCACAAAAGTTAACCCTTTTACATTAATTCCATTTGGGCTGTCGCTGACATAGAAAGCATACAAATCAGTATATTGTTCACATAGTTTTATTGTTCAATAACTCGATAGTTCAACCTAAGGCATAGTCATGATTGCATATATAAGTTCTGACAGGACATTCGATCAATAAATCACACTACAATAGCTCTCAGGCCTCAACATTCATCTCATCATAACAATCAAACATAAATAACATCACAGCATCTAGTACAACGTACAGTCGGCACCATCCAGCCATCACACTGAAGAATTTCATCAAGAAAATAGTAAAGGAGTTTTAGATTGGTTTGTATTTTTGTAGTAACTGTCAAAAAAATCTCTTTTGAACCATAAAAAAATCTTCAAAATAAAGAAACAAGTAAATCGAAATCAAAATACACAGAAACAGACCACCAAAGGACAAGCATACACCTGGAGACCAGGAAATAGTGGTTAGCAGTTAGGTTTACACTTGTGTATTATATAATAAATTTGTATATGTTTAGAGTATTTAAAATGCTCTTTTGTTTTATTATGTATAACATTCAAATTATTCAAAAATTGTTCTGGTTAACTGCTGAAATATATGTATGATTGTACCCCCCCCCCCCCATTTTATGAAGATATTTGATATCAACAATACCATTGAAAACAATGAAATTCTGCTGTTCATTCAGTACTGACATAATATGGCGACTATAGAAAAAGACAGAAGCTTTGGTATACATTATATATACTGGTATGCCACACTAGATCACAACAACGGAACATGTTACCTACAGTGTGTTTAAACAATATCTATACATTAAAAGTAATTGCATGTTTTTTATTGATACATGTGAGGTTCTTTATACAGGGTTATGGGGGGAATTCCTGATGAAATGACATTTCCACTTTTAAATGTAAAGAATTCTAACAGCTAAATAGAAAGGATGGGACCACCTAACAATGTCAGAAAACCCAAATCTTTAGAAAACGTATGTTTAGTAGGATGTAGATGTTTAAAATGGTGGTCCCCTGTTCAGAGTGTTGTACTGTGTGTACGTTCTTGATAAATACACCACAGTACTATCAGGTCATAGACAGATAGAATTACACATAGTAACACAAAGTCCTGACTAAACACCACGTCTTATAAACTTCTGAATGGAAACTCTTAAGCAGTCTGGTATTTATCAAAATGTCAATGTAAACGCAAATCTGATCGCCCATTCGAACAGACAAAAACTTTAATATATATTTGATATCAAACCTATCATATGCTTTGAACTAACTAATTCCACATACCAGAAAAGAAAACAACTTGAAATTTGAAATTTTGGGGCATAAAAATATGTTAAGAAAATATTCTTGTTTTATTTGGCAACACAAAAAGGGAGGCCGACTCGTAACCACGGTAACTCACATGACAGAATTTTGACTCATAGCCACGGAAAAAATACATGAAAGGAGACTGAATTGTTATCAAATTTAAAATTTGAAAATATTCTTTTATAAACTAATAAAGCTTTAAACTGAAATACTAGAATAACACTGGCTTTCCAGACCTGTAGGAGACTTATAGCTATATAACAATACATACATGGAGCAGTTTAAAGTCAGCAAACATTTGACATACCAACAACTTGCATAGATAAATTCTGTGTGTACCCTACTATAATGTTACACTCCAGCATAGAGTTATGGATTTCAGACAAGTCAGTTTAAAGCAGACTACATTTGTGCTGTACACAGTAACAAATAGTCATGATGAGCACTTTGTTTTCACAAAATTCTTCTCACATACATATATGTATAAATATATCAATAACTTGACAGTGCAACCCGTCAACAGTAGCTTCATCACACATTTACATCTAAAAGACAGATGGAAATGTAATAAACCAATTTCAAGGGAAGTAACTTGTATAAGTATCTGTGCCTGTTGTTCGTGAAACCATCATACAAATAGAGACTAAGGTTGAAAACCTGGCAAACCTACTCACAATAATCATGTATCTAGTAACATATTATGAAAGCACTTTACTTTTAGTTAATAAATCTATTTTTTGAACCTGAAAACAACAAAAAGGTCTCAAAAATATGTAAAAACAATGAGCAGTACCTTTGCATGTGAAAACTGATTGGTTGAAACTTGCGTAATATGATACAACACATTTTGCATATACACTTGAATATAAGAAATCATTTTGTTAAATCTAGAAAGCAAAGAACTTACAAGGTACGATCAAAATTACTGTACTTTATGATTAGTTATGATTAATAAATCTCTAATTAATTAGTCACAGAACGAGTATCTCCCTCTTTGGTTTTCTAATTGCCTTCCTCAAGCTCTGTAATAATAAGTGTTCATAATCTCATAATTATCCTTCTCACTTTTGACCTGAGTATTATTATTTTTCACGATTTGCAAGGTACAGCTAAAATGCATTTAAGGATTGAATTCTGTTTTGTTGAGGTTTATCGGGGGGTATAAACCTCAACAAAATGGGATTCTATCCTTATATTAACATTCAGAGTGATATTGATATTTGTTCGGATAATTTCTAAAATATCGGTCTTGTGCAAGTCTAACACCACGGAAGGTATCAAAACTTATGACGTCATAACTCACTGTGAGATGTCGTCCTGGTAAGATGAATAAGCAAATTAAGATGTAAAATATTTTTTGAATTCAATTGAATACTTCTGACAAAAAAACAACAAATTTCAAACAATCTATGAATGGAGCTACTTGCCGCGCTCCTTGGAATAACAGAGTAATCATCAGGTTGATAATATGCTGATGTATTCATACGCCAACTGAAAAGTTCATTGAAAAATAACCTTTAAAATATTAAGTAGGTATATTGAGTCCAAGTTCAGTAGAAATGTAAATATTCAATGTCTAGAAATAAACAGCCAGTGGCGCCATGTCGTCCGTTATGTCCGTTACTCCATTTTATACCCAGATAACAAAAACATGATCTCTTTTCAACTGGAGTTGTGTAACACTGCATCAGTTGACATATATTAAAACAAAATCTAGGTTAACATACGTTCAAATTTCGTTGACATTCCATCCAGAATTGGTGGGAGAAGGTGCAACAATATAAACAATATTATATATAGTTGTGAAACACTGGGGAAAGTAAAGGAATGCCTATCAAGTTAGGACTAAATATAATACTCTAAACTATGTAGAATCTTATAATTTCTTATAGGTTAGAATCTAAAATAACATAGGAACACCATCACCAGGAGATCAGTGAAAGTCTACACATAACACTGTCTCGCTGTGTATTGGATACGAATATTGCCTTGGATACCTAACCATTCCAGTGTTGTTGTGCTTCAATGCCTTTCACACATATATTCTTATATTATAAAAATACATCTCATCAATATCTCATTTATCATTAACATTGGTTCAACACTAGCTTCCTCAGTTATACACGACATCTAATAACTCACTATTCCTTAATCGAATAAATTATTATGGTAATTAAAAAGAATCACAAACAAAATAACATCACCATGAAATTGGAAGGGACTCGTTTGAAACTTGTTGAAACTTAATGCACACGACTGAAATGTACTTGAACTTGACTAGAAGTCACTTTTTATGAATTTTCTAATGCTTTGAAAACTAAACAACAACAAGAACTACTGTGGCACATTATATATTAGTTGCGTTATTAAGTTAACCTTATCATATAAAGAGGGCATTTAAAAACATGCAGTTTTTAAATTCACTTTAACTTTTTTTTTTTCAAAACTACTAAAATTAAATGGTGTACCACAAATTTCAATTGTCCTTCAATTGCAGTCAAAGAAATATTGATGTTTATGTACCATTATCATTGAAAATTAATCTTTTATTTATATTTATATTTCAAAGTAAAATACTTAAGGCTGAACGAGATCCACAATAAATATTATAAAAAAAAATGTAAAGATGTTTTACCTATTCTATACCCTAAACCATTAACCCAAATTTTCCCCTCAAAAATGTCACTTTACACCAATATAAGAAACTTATTCACCAGAAAGTTACAATAGAAACATATTGTCACTGATATTTCTCATGATTGAAAGGTTTGGCAATTTATGTTTGCTAAGTGAACAAAATTGTGAAATTAAAAAAACCCAAATTGAATAAATCTATCTAGCAAAATCTTGATGATATTGATCATGGCAATATTTTTGATTATTAAAATCTAAAATTTAAGAATAATTCTTTTTTAAAAAATTCTATCATTCTGACACAGCACAGACTTTATGTACCCTAACAAGGAAAAACAATTACTTGGGGGTTATGTTCTCGCTTTCATCACATTGTGTACCCTACTCTTGTCATCAAACAGGCCACGTATAAGCAGCACCTGTGTGAGACCAACCGACACCATTACAAACACCTGGATTCCAGAAAGCCAATTCACTCGCTGGAAGTTATTCTCTTGTGTATTTCGATCTCTTGCTTCATAATTTTTCAAAAAATGTTGAATCTGTGCAGACTTGTCCAAATGGTCCTTCATTGTTTCCATCTTTTGCTGAAACATCAGAAAAACATCAATGTCACGAAATGTTTTAACAGAGCTTGTTGTAGCCATAAGTCTCAAAGTAGAAAATATGTGGCCATTAGTTTCAAAGTAAAAAATATGTGGCCATTAGTTTCAAAGTAGAAAAATATGTGGCCATTAGTTTCAAAGTAGAAAATATGTGGCCATTAGTTTCAAAGTAGAAAATATGTGGCCATTAGTTTCAAAGTAGAAAATATGTAGCCATTAGTCTCAAAGTAGAAAATATGTAGCCATTAGTCTCAAAGAAGAAAAATATGTAGCCATTAGTCTCAAAGTAGAAATATATGTAGCCATTAGTCAGAAAAGCATGTAGTCATTAGTCAGAAAAACATGTAGTCATTAGTCAGAAAAACATGTAGTCATTAGTCTCAAAGTAGAAAATGAACTAGATATTTTTTACCCGACTCCAATTTCATAATTTTTCTAAATTTGTTTTCACTTAAAATCATTTCTGTCTTAGGTTCCATTTAATTTGTTTCAAATAAGAAACCGTCTCAAAAACATAAATACATGTATATATTTTTTACAGTAAAAGGTCCATAGTAAAACTCCATTTTTCTGTTCCCATGACTTACGCACATGTTTTTACATTGCGAGGAAAACCTCTCAAATTCAGGGATGTCTAACTCTGCTAGCCTGTTGCCTGGGGTTAGTAGATTTTAAGTCTGAACTACTGAAAATGTTCACAATTTTTATTATGAAAATACTAGTTGGACTAGTAGAACCTTTTCTAATCAATCTGTGGGCTATTGTACACCCCTAAAACCTATATCTCTTCAGTAAAATCTTAAAAATAAGATACACACATGTGATTACACTTTGGAAATATATACAGTACGCCAAAAATGTATTACACAGCACCATACAGTTTTGTCCTTCTAGAACTCATCAGTGATGCTTGGAACCAAAACATTAGAAGAGTACTGATTAATTTCAAATTAATAAGTGAAGTGTGTACATTAAACCATGTCTATAACTTGCGTTTCTGGGTTTTGTGAAGTGTGTACATTTAACCATGTCTATAACTTGTGTTTCTGGGTTTTGTGAAGTGTGTACATTATACCATGTCTATAACTTGTGTTTCTGGGTTTTGTGAAGCGTGTACATTAAACCATGTCTATAACTTGTGTTTCTGGGTTATGCGAAGTGTGTACATTAAACCATGTCTATAACATGTATTTCTGGGTTTTGTGAAGTGTGTACATTAAACCATGTCTATAACATGTATTTCTGGGTTTTGTGAAGTGTGTACATTAAACCATGTCTACAACTTGTGTTTCTGGGTTTTGTGAAGTATGTACATTATACCGTGTCTATAACTTGTGTTTCTGGGTTTTGTGAAGCGTGTACATTAAACCATGTCTATAACTTGTGTTTCGTGGTTATGTGAAGTGTGTACATTAAACCATGTCTATAACATGTATTTCTGGGTTTTGTGAAGTGTGTACATTAAACCATGTCTATAACTTGCGTTTCTGGGTTTTGTGAAGTGTGTACATTAAACCATGTCTATAACTTGTGTTTCTGGGTTTTGTGAAGGGTGTACATTAAACCATGTCTATAACTTGTGTTTCGTGGTTATGTGAAGTGTGTACATTAAACCATGTCTATAACATGTGTTTCTTGGTTTTGTGAAGTGTGTACATTAAACCATGTCTATAACTTGTGTTTCTGGGTTTTGTGAAGTGTGTACATTAAACCATGTCTACAACTTATGTTTCTGGGTTTTGTGAAGTGTGTACATTAAACCATGTCTATAACTTGTGTTTCGTGGTTATGTGAAGTGTGTACATTAAACCATGTCTATAACGTGTGTTTCTGGGTTTTGTGAAGTGTGTACATTAACCCATGTCTACAACTTATGTTTCTGGGTTTTGTGAAGTGTGTACATTAAACCATGTCTATAACTTGTGTTTCTGGGGGATGTGAAGTGTGTACATTAAACCATGTCTATAACTTGTGTTTCTGGGTTTTGTGAAGTGTGTACATTAAACCATGCCTATACCTTGTGTTTCTGGGTTTTATCTACATCCTTGGATTTATTAACCTGCTCAGTTCTACATACAATATATGTATCTGGTAGCTTCACAGTACACTCAGTCAGACAATACATACACAGACAACACAACTGATTTGACATGGTTGCGAACATTATTTTTTGTACCTTAAAGTCTTGAATTGTCATATCTATTAAACCTGACAATTCTTCTTTAGCAAAATTCCAATCTTTGTCATCATCGCCATCATCTTCATCATCATCTGACACCAACTCAAAATAGATGACCTTAGTGTTGAAGTGACTGAATGTGTTATCAAAACACATCTTGTAATCTCCAGCAACCTCAGCGTCGATCCTGAAACACAAAACAAGTGTTCACATATCACATGTAAACTTGGCAACAGATATACAAATAGACACACAGATCTGTTCTTTTGCATTCAGTAATAATGTAAATGTAACAGGAAAGGAAAAATGTAATGGCCTGACCAGGATTCTAACTTACAACCTCATAACTACTAGACAGATACTGTTACCAACTGAGCTAGTTGGTCTGACAACAGAGATTGCCACAGCCCACTCCTGTTACATACATACTTTGTAAATACTGCTTGCTAAATAATACTGCAAACTTTTTATTTGATATTATTCCATATATATACCAATGATTATGTCATAGCCTCTCAAAACAACAATAACCTTAGGCTTTCCTTAACAAAAATGTTGTGTTATTGAACCTAGAATTATCTATAAAAATATTTGAAAACTTTCCAGATTTTTTTTTTCATTTTCTTCTTGTATAAATACAAATGTGCATACGCTTCACTGTTCATTTGTCTGATGAAAGTGACAATGCACTACACATACCATGGAAACTTCACATGTTAACACTTACTGATTGTTTCTTAACATAATGAAAAGGTTGTGTTACACAACCAGTAAGTGTTTCTATGTGACGTTTCCATGACTGGTATGGTATGTACTCTGTCACCTTCATCAGACAAATGAACAGTGAAGCGTATGCACACAAGAGTGTTGAATGTGTACAAGTTGTCCACAAAATCAATGTTGATTTGGCTACGCTGTAGGCGTAATTACAATAGTTGTTATACATGTACAGAAATCACTCGATTCAGATACGCTTTGTTGCTTACCGGTTGTGCTACCACATGAACCCTTATACAATCCATATTGCCAGCAGCCTAAAGGAAAGGTTTCACAATTTGTCTGCAGCATTCTCATTAGGAATTAGGTTTATTTTCTGAATCTGTTAAATACACTTGGGAAAGGAAATGACAGTTGCAAAAAAATGCTGATTATCTTCCAAAAAAACTTGCATGCGCAGACTAATCAAGTTTCACTTTACATTATAACAAACATCAAAAGTACAGAATACATTACTTGTGAACAGCATCAGACTTCTGTACATCAGATACCATCACTCGACCATCAGGAGCCTGCACATAAAAACTCACATCCAGATCACCACCATCTATCACCTGAAAAGGGAAATGCATATAGAATTAAGAAATCTAATATGTACTGTGATAACGAGAGAGAGATCAGACCTGATACAAGACCCTCAAGGCAGACGCCCAGTGCAAAACCCATAAGGTCAGAGATACAAGCTACCACCCGAGGAGTTGAGGAGCTGCTGAAGGGACTCAAGTCTCACAGAGCTGCTGGACCAGACGGTATACCTACTAGACTACTGAAGGAAATAGCGACTGAACTTGCTCCAGCTCTCAGGAGAATCTTCCAGTGTTACCTGGACAGCTCGACTGTGCCAGACAACTGGAGGTTGGCCCATGTGGTCCCTAAGAAGGAGGATCGTTCCATTGCTGCCAATTATAGGCGAGTCTCCCTGACAGCAGTTTGTTACATACTGATGGAACACATCCTCCATAGTTCAGTCATGCAACACCTTGACCAACACAACATACTGAGAAATGAACAACACAGTTTTCAGAGGAAGAGATCTTTTGAAACCCAACTCATCCAGACCATACATGAGCTTGCCAGAGGCTAAGATGGAGGAAAACAGAGGACATGGTTTTACTTGATTTCTCCAAGGCGTTTGACAAGGTACCCCATCAGAGACTGCTACAGAAGCTACACCATTTTGGGATTCGGAACAACACCCTTTCATGGTTCAAAGACTTCATGAACAGCAGGAAACAACTTTTTACTATCGAAAGAAGCCACTTGTCTGAGGAATGGTCTGGAGTCTCCCAGGGGACGGTGGTCAGGCCGCTCCTATTCCTGCTGTACATCAACGACTTGGCGAACCATGTGAAGTCTGAAGTGCAGCTCTTTGCAGATGACTGCATAGTCTATCACAGCATAAACAACATCAAGGACAGCCTTTCCCTCCAGGAGCAAAGCCGATAAAAATCAACCCCGAGGAATGCGTCATCATGCATACTACCAAGAAGAAGAAGCTATGAAAGAAGAAACCATATTTACTTCATGGACACCAGCTGGAAGTTGCACAATCCGCCTAGGATAAATGCTGAGCAGTGACTTGTCATTGAGTTAGCCCATTAACACCTGTTTCACCTGGTCAGTTGGTTTCCTGCGGAGGTCAGTTGGTTTCCTGCAGAGGTCAGTTGGTTTCCTGCGGAGGTCAGTTGGTTTCCTGCGATGGAATATCCGCTCTTGCTTCGAACAAGTCAAGGCAAGTACATTTACCACACTTGTATTACCCACTCTGGAATATGTGTCCACATGTACAGTATGGGACCCTCACCAGAGGAACAACATCGAAAATCTTAATGGAGTCCAGAGACGCGCAGTGAGGTTCGTCAGTGGCTAATACAATTTAAAGTCCTGTCCCCATCCTACAGAAACTGGGCTGCACGAGATACACATGAGCAGAGGAGACTGAGAGCGAGACTAGTCATGTTTCACAATAATATCTTCAACAAAAAAGGTGAACGTGGACCTGGACAGCACCTTAAGCCTACTGACTCCAGAACAAGAGGTGCCAACTGTAGGCAGATCCCAGCAGATTTTCCTACCAAGATCTATTACCCTGTGGAAAAACCTACCTAACAATATCAAGGAGGTAGAGGAACTCCCAATCTTCACGTTAGTAATTTAAACATATTTTATTGTACAAATATACAAATGGATCGGACAAGTTATTACAACTTTATTAATAGAGTTCTCTTCTCAATACATATGGTAACAAGAGTACCGCTGGGCGGAACATTATACGCCCGTCGAATGCCATATAGTGTTATATACTTTCTTTCATTGAAATAAGATCTGCATCATTTAAAGAGTGGTTAGCTGACAAACTATAAAAATGTAGGAGAAAATCTCCGGATAAAATCCCAAATACTGAAATGAACAAAGGGCAATAACTTTTGCAAAAATCGTCGAATCAAAATTCTTTTCAAAGAAACACAACAACATATCATGATTATTTAGCCTACTAAGTTTCAAAGAAATCTGTCAAAACATGTAGGAGGAAATCTCCGAACACAAAATAAAATACTGAAATAAACAAAGGGCAATAACTTTTGGACAAATTGTCGAATCAAAATTCTTTTTAGGGAGACACAACTTCAAATCATGATTATAATGTGTACCAAGTTTCAAAGAGATCGGTCGAAAAATGTAGGAGGAGATTGCCGGACAAACAAAAGTTTACGCCGGGCAGCTGGACAACGCCATACCATAATACTCCCGTCAAATTTGACAGGCGTATAAAAATGGTGTATATGTTTTTGGGGAAAGTGAAAAAGATAGGGTGGAGAAGGAAAGGTGGGGTGGGAGTGTGGGAGGGGAGGGGTGTTTCCTAGAAAAGTAAATGTGTAAACTGAGAAATCGATCCGCATTTGAATAAATTTTAAATTATACAAATTTCATGACATGCAGCCTGGTAGAGTAATTTCAAAATGAACAGAATCAATGTAACAAAGAAATCAGGCAAAATAATGAAATACAATTTCACAAACACATATAACAACTACACATAAATAAATATAGAAAAGTAATTTTAACTATCAAAACCTATAATGGATTTGATGTAATGATGCACATGTCTAAAGATACTTATGTTGTTTTCTACCGAAAGTTGACTATTACCAAACAAAAGTAGTTCTAATATAAATTAAAATCAACATGCAAGGCATTCCAATTTTGGAGCAGGGTATGTCTTGCGTTGTTAAAAAGTAAGCACTCACAAAAAAATTAAAGACATTTTCACAGGGATGGCCACAATAACAAACTGGACTATCAACCAGATTTACTCTAAAAAGATCATATTTAAGTAGACTACACTGATGTCTAAGTTTAGTGTGCAAAATGTTCAATTTACGTTTACCGAAACCTTAGTAGATTGGTGGAGGAGATTGTACATTTGAAGTTAACAAGTTTTTAAAAGAATGTAATGAGGTCAATGATCATACTGAAAGGTCCAATGAATTCCAACCACGAAGAGTTGAAGGTATAAAAGATGAATTTGTTAGAGAAAGCCTGAAAGGACGAATTCTATAATCTTTATTGTTTCTATGGGTGTATCGGTTATTTTCTGCAACGGAAGATGGCAATAGAGAATTTAAATAGTCTGGAGTTAATTTGTTGTGCATTTTATACAAAAGTTGGAGTTTTCTGCGTTTTCTTCTATTCAAAAGAGTTTCTAGACCAGTTTCAACAAGAGTACCGCGGGGCGGAACAATATACGCCCGCCGAATGCCATATAGTGTTATATACTTTCTTACATTGAAATAAGATCTGCATCATTCTAAGAGTGGTTATAGCTGACAATCACATGCTATAAAAAATGTAGGAGAAAATCTCCGGACAAAAAATAAAACACTGAAATAAACAAAGGGCAATTACTTTTGCAAAAATGGTTGAATCAAAATTCTTTTAAGGCACAACTTCATATCATGATTATAATGTATACCAAGTTTTAAAGAGATCCGTTGAAAAATGTAGGAGGAGATTGCCGGACAAAAATCAAATACTGAAATAAACAAAGGGCAATTACTTTTGCAAAAATTATTGAATCAAAATTCTTTTAAGGAGGACACAACTTCATATCATAATTATAATGTATACCAAGTTTCAAACAGATCCGTTGAAAAATGTAGGAGGAGATTGCTGGACAAAAATCAAATACTGAAATAAACAAAGGGCAATAACTTTTGTAAAAATTGTCGAATCAAAATTCTTTTAAGGAAGACACAACTTTATATCATGATTATAATGTATACCAAGTTTCAAAGATACCATAATACTCCCCTCATATTTGACGGGCGTATAAAAAGTAAGTCTTCAATTCGGGCATATGAAGGAAGACCAGTTATAATACGAGAAGCTTCTCTTTGGGCTTTCTCTAACATTTCTGTTTCATAAGTTTTACAACCATCTCACAATTCACAAGCATATTCTAAAACTGGTAAAATAAATGATTTATAAATCTTTAAAAGATTATCACAATCTAATAAATATTTTAATCTACGTAAGACGTTGACTTTTTTCATAACTGAAGTATATATTGCACAAATTTTATCCCCCCCTTTTGCACTTGAATCAAAAATTACACCTAAATGTTTATGATGATCAGTAAAATTAAAAAATTCGCCATTAAATTCTAATTGTAAATCTTCATCAATTTCAACCAAGTTTGAAACAAAAATTACCTCAGTTTTTTTCTGGATTGAATGTTACTAACCAAGTTTGGGACCATGACTCGAGATAGCTATTTATAACCGTTTGGATTTCTAGACATGAATAGGATGATTTTAACAAAGAAGTATCGTCTGCAAAAAGACGAGAGGTTGATTCAAACATATCAGCAATATCATAAATATAGATAAGAAACAAAAGAGGTCCAAGAATCGAACCCTGAGGAACACCTGCTTCAATGAAACCTAAGTCGGAGTAAGAAGTATTCCAAAAGGCTCTCTGGTGCCTCTGAAATAGGAATTTTCCAACCAATGATACAATTCCCCTGAAATTCCATAGGATTTTAACTTAATCATCTAACCCTTATGCCAAACCCTTTCAAAAGCCTTAGAAATATCGCAGAATACCATACATACATGGTTTTTTTTCTTCTAGAGCAATACAGATGTTATGATAAATTTCAATGAGTTGATATACAGTAAAATGACCAGGCAAAAAACCAGACTGGTGCTTATAACAAGAGGCCCAAGGGCCTTAGCAGTCACCTGAGTTATATCATAGGTACTGGTAGCTTTATTCTATTGTTTAGATGTGATGTGGAAATCAACATGTAAACTAAGTGAAATACAATAATTGTCATGTCATCAAAGGATAAGAATTTTGAAATATTGGTAAATGTTCCCGCCCTAGCCCCTAGGATGGGGCAGGAATCCCAATTTTACAATGTAATACCCACATCCACCAAAGATGATTCTCATCAAGTAAGAATTATTTTCTGCTGAAAATAAAAATATACCCAGAAGTGTTATTTCCCTATATAAACTATGGTAAAATTTACCCCCTCCCCAAGGGGGAACGGATGGCTCAGAGGTCCTGACATTGACAATTTCAATAAAGCTCCTGATGATCTTTCTATCCATGCACTGAAATTGACCGTAGTACCTCTGAGTCTGGAGAAGAAGATTTTTGAAATATTGGTAAATTTTCGCCCTGGCCCTAGGGTTGGGGTAGGAATCCCAATTTTACATTTTAAAACCATCTTCCTCCAAGGATAATTCTCACCAAGTAAGCATAATTTCCTACAGAAAATTGTCAAAATATACCCAAAAGTGTTGTAATTGTTTCATTATATAAACTATGGTAAAGTTTACCCCCTCCCCAAAGGAGAACGAATAGCTCAGGGGTCCTGAAATTTATAATTTAAATAAANCCTATATAAACTATGGTAAAGTTTACCCCCTCCCCAAAGGAGAACGAATAGCTCAGGGGTCCTGAAATTTATAATTTAAATAAAGCCCCTGATTATCTTTAATTTCCATCCATGCAGAAAATGACTGTAGTACCTCTGAGTCTGGAGAAGAAGATTTTTGAAATATTGGTTAATTTTCCTGTTGGGGTAGGAATCCCAATTTTACAATTTTGTAGCCTCATCTACCAAGGATGATTCTGACCAAGTTTGAAAAAATTCAATCCACTGGTTCTTGAGAAGAAGTTGAAAATGTAAAAAGTTTACACACGACGCACGACGACAGACGGAAAGTGACCGGAGTAGGTTACTTGAGCAAAGCTCAGGTGACCGAAAAAAGTGAGTGTTCAATGAAATAATTATGCAAGTATTTGAAAATTACCCTCTTAAACACTTTTCCAACTGTAGATAATAAAGAAATTGGCCTATAGTTAGAGGGAGAATGCCTGTCACCCTTTTTAAACAGTGGCATAACTTTGGCTGTTTTCCAACAGATTGGGTAAACACCAGACGATAAAGACTTAATAAAAATGATTCAAAGGGAAACACAAACTGTTTCTGATGTGTTTCTTATCATATGGTGACTGATTCCATCCTCACCCGAGGCCTTACCAAGCTTCAATATTTGTAAAATATCTTGTATTTCATTATTATTGACTCTAATGTACCTAAGACTCTTGTCAGTTTTTGGCTCGATGAGAGGAACCGCAGTATTTATGTCATCTACACGAGTTATATTACAAAAATAGTCGTTTAATAAATTAGCTTTGTCTACGTCACTAGTAACCACATTGTCAGAAACAGGATCTACAAGAGTAGGTATAGATTGTGCAGTACCAGACGATTGTATTAACCTTTTGATGAGTCTCCAATAAGCTTTTGGATCAGAGGACGAGTACTCTTCAATAATACCATGAACATTTTCATAAAATAATTTACGGCATATTTTTTCATGTTATTAACCTTATTCCGTTGAGAATTGAATTTGTTGATGTCCGAAAGATGTTCGGTTGACCTCGCAATTTTATGCAACTTATCTCTAATTTTTATTGTTTTTCTTAATTCAGAGGTCATCCAAGGTTTATCATTTAAAGGTATATAGTTACATCTTTTGATGGAATACATATATTTGCAAATTTTAGGAACATATCAGTAAAATGATTACAGGCAGTATCAACTGAATCACAATTTAAAGAAAGTTCATTCCAATTATAATCAGAAATAAGATCATTAAATCTTCAGGTCCCTTATTACCAACCTGGATCTGCTGAAAAGAAAGCCCTGAGGTCCTGGGCTGCTGGTTTTTATCTTATATCTTAAAATTATAAAAATATTTATGTTTTTAATGTGTGGCTTGGGCATGCTTGCAGTAGGTCGCTGGAATATCACACTCCACACATAGTAAATTCCTATCCAGGATGATGATGAGCTGTATTGAGTGTTTGTTTTTCAAGTCTTATGTACAATATTTTTTCCCCAAATTAATCACTTAATGACCCAGAGATAATTGTTTAAGGCTCGAATGAACATGCCTGCCGGACACCTGTTATTTATGTCCTCCGGTCCCCCTACCCCACTCACACATAAAGAGGACTAGCCCACCTTACAAATGACCAGTGACCATGATGGTCATTGCCAGACAAGGGCAGCCGTGTTATTTGATCAGTGTTTAACTCTAAGCCTGAACAGATAATAGTGATGTACATGTCAGACAAAAAAATATCATATTGTTAGTGTTTCAATCTCCTGTGAATGTCTGTAGCCACATCAACTGATCAGGAGTCAGACTAGTACTTACACATGTATGTACACAGTCGTGTCATTTTTACAGAAAAATCTATTTCATTCGTTTTCAGTATATGCTATCTACTGTATGAGAGTAACGTTTAAACGTGCCATGAATATGGGGGGGGGGGGGGGGGGGGGGCGTGGTCGTCAATGTAAATAAACAGATACTTGACTCCTCCCCTTATCAAAAGAGATGGGTTTTTTTCATAAAAAGGGGGTGCTAGTTGACAGCAATACCAGAAAGAACACAAATTAAACTCACTTGTTGGGATACATTATGAATCCAAATAATGTAAAAGAAACACTATAGCTATAACATATTTTGTTTTAAACAACTTGTCAGCTTCCGATTGGCTGCACCGTGCCATGAAATGTTGCAGCTTTTCCCAAGTGACATTATTACAACCATGTACATTTACCTGATATTCAATTTCAATCCCAACTGGTTTTTTAACAGTTTGATAGAAACAATCCTGAGTTCCTGCATTAACCTCTACTGTGAGATCAATTTCGAAAGGTGAGACAAGAGCGACAAGGAACACTAACGGATATAAAACATAGATGAAGTTCTCCATTTCGACACAGGACCTGTCAATACCGGAAGTAAATATACAGGAAATTACGTTTTATTCACTGCGGTACTATTAGAACTTTTTTCGGTGAGTTTAACGAAATATCCTTATGTATCGGGAATTTACATGTTGTATCATCTGTTAGTTTAACATCTGAGCATGTATAACGGCGAAGACTAAAATTAATCGGGTCGTACGCGAGGTAACGCTTCGAAAGCCAGGAACTATTTGCTCCTATTTTGCATATCGGTGTGCGCACGAAAATAGTACAGAATATAGTTCTAATTATTGATACAAATGTTGTATAATAACTCGCTAACATATTATCATCACCAACAGTACAAAATTGTTTATTATAAAATGTTGAATATCAGATATCCTCTATGGTAATGTATGACCAATAATAATCATATTTATGTGTATGAATATTACTGATGTCCAAAACCTTGTGATAAGGTCAAGCCAGCGATGTATCCCAAATGGCCAATTATGCAGGTGTGATAATTCCAAATTTTTATTTGGATGAAGACGTTCTGTTATGTTTTGAAGATGGATAGTGTGAATATATTTGCACGATATTGTAGTCCTGAAATCGACGTGCTCATTTTAGTTGTTGAAATTAGCGGAAATAAGACAAATAGTATTTGCTTTTGTTTATTGCGAGAAATTTTGTTGAATGACGTTTTCCACTCTTTTGCAGAAAACTGCAAAACTTTAGTAAATAATGACTTTGTTCCACATGTTAGTTGTTCAAGTTTGATAGCTTAGAATGGAAGAGTTCGGGAATAGCGAGGAGTTTTCCGGAAATCTTCTGTCAAAGATCATATCCTGTGATTCAAGTACGGACGAAACCAGAACAGATGACAGGAACATGACAGAAAAAGTTGATGGAGAGATTACCCCATCAGCTGATTTGGGGTTACCTTCGCCGGTACCTGTTAAAGAAGAGGATTATGGTGAAAGATCACCTGAAACTGACATCAAGGGAGAAGGAGTCGACACTCGAAATCCTCTCGGTCCTGAACTCCAACAAGGCTTTAGAATTTTGAAAGAACTTATGGCCGATGGTAACAAATCTGTGAACTGGCACTTTTTGGAAGCCGTCGACTCTAGCCATCCTGAAACAGCAGATTATTATGAACGAATCAAGAGACCAGTCTGGTTGGGAAAAAGTATGTCATTTCGCCACAAGTTAAATTCGAAATCATATATATCTGGTTGTACTTGGGTTAAACTAATGACTGCTTGGTTTTTACCAGAAATTGGTGCACTAAACTAAATCTAGATTAACTAGCTTAACATGATTAATTTGATAATATTGCAATATTCTGGAGTAAGTGATGAACGACTTGCTATTGACCTAAGAATTGCTGTACCACTAATCATCATTTATGGTTTATTTGTATTTTCAAAATTGGCTATATATCATCCAAATGTCCTGTATGCTTTTCACCACAAAAATATACTGGATGAATATAAACGTCAATCTCAATAGATGGTCATATGGCACTGATAGTTTTACAAATAATGATGTCCCTGTACTGACTCCCAGCTACAACTGGTGTTTCATATCAAGATTAGCTGGTCCCTTCACCGAAAAAAATAGTACTATTGGAAACCTGAAACCATATAGCAGTATTGTCAAAAATAATACCATAGACACCGACGGGTATAGTACAAACTATGGGTATTTGTCACTTCTCCCAAACTGGTAGTTATTGAGTTGTGTAGCTTGTCAGGCTACGATGTTGACAGTTTATCAGAAAAGCTTCTAGGTTCATTTTCAGGAAAAGTTTTGAATGTAAGTAATTTGCTTTTAAAAATAGACAGCTACACTTAGAGAGTGAGATTTCATTGTTTTTTCGGCCATGATTAGTACACCATATCACAGGCTATGAAACTTGTTTAATTTTTACTAGTTGATGTGCCAATTTCAACAAAATATATCACTTTTATAAATACAAACTGATCTACAATTGTATGTATGCATGTTTTCTAACATGTTGACGTTAAAATGTTGCTGAAAACAAAACTATTTGGTGGAAATGCTTATAAATATATTTGTTATACGTACCATCAGAGGAAAATTCACAAATTTAATTTAAAGTACTATTCGAACCATTTTCTGACGTGTACCAATTTAGGTAGTGTATCAATTGTGGTAGCTTTAGTTTCACAATGCATCTGATCAACTTTAAATTTGATCTTATTGGTCATTGTGGGAAAATGAAAATTTAACAGTTAATTATGGTCAAGCTTCAAAAGTGGGGGAGGAGGGTGGATGCAAATCCCCCTTGGTAAACTTGAGACTGTTGCTCTGCCATCCTAACTATCTGGTTTTGATGTTATAATTATCTGCTACATATATTATAACATATTATTTTGATCCCAAACATATATTGTAATGGACATTTTCTCTTATCTTTGTTTCCAAATTGAATATGTTTCAGTATTAAATAAGTTTGAAGATCGGGAATATGAAACAATCACTGAGTTTGTGTCGGACTTCCGTCTGATGCTGGAGAACTGCTACAGATACAATGGGCCCGACCACTATGTTTCCAAGAGAGGACAGAAGCTGGAGACCATGATGGAACAAAAACTGGCTCTTCTTTCTAGGTTAACACAATTCAAATGACTTTATTTTTATTACAGTGTTATTGTAGTGGGGGGAGAAATACACATGCTTTGGGTTTCAATTTCAATTTCAAAATGGAGTATGGTCGTTAATTAGGAATTATATTACCTGGTATCTTTATATTTTTTACTACATCATGATGTTAGGACATTGTAATTAAATACTGTATGCATAGTGCACAGCCACAGTTATGCTTCAACTATTTCTTTTTGAATAAAGATGATGTATTAATATGGATACATGCATTTTCAGAAAAGGAAAACTAAAAGAGCCTTTGATTTTGTTGGTGAATAAACATTTTCAGCCCAAAAAAAAGAAGGAAGGTGTCTATATATAATATAGCGATAAATAGTGTTATATGTCCATGTGACGGTAAATATATAAAAACAAAACACGAATACATATACTAGTCTTCATGTTTTGTTTTATTTATATATATATATATGTAAAGAATAATTCTGTTTTAACATTTTATGCTGATCAATGTTTATGTTATGATAATGTTAACATTATAACAATACATAAATAAAAATATATATATCATTTATTATGCTTTAGAAAACATATGTACATTGCTAATAGAAAAAAATCTTTCTTTCAATTTCTTGTATAAATATCTTGCCAAACAAGAAGGGATTTGTCCACAACATTCATGGCTGACTGACCCCTACTTTTTACACTAATACACACAGACACACGGTTTCCCTAGAAACTAGACCTGAGAAAGCTGAATTTGTGGCATTGGACAAAATTGATTGTTTGTAGAAATCAGTTACCTTGTTGTTAATTTTGTTTATCCTCATTTCAGAGAGTTACGAGAAAAGACATCCATTTCAGCAACTTCAGGTCAAAATGGTGATGACATTTCTTTCTCAGGTATGTCCACAATAAATGCATCATTAAAAATTTTGAAATTCAAATTTGGAAACACCAATATGGAAATATACAGAAAGGAATTTATCAACATTATCAAAGAATTCAGCTTATAGATTTTTGAGTCTAAGGAATTTTGAAAATTTCAACTTGAGACCTAAAGTCTACTAATAGTTGCTCAAAAGATCTGAACTTATTTATTTTGCAGGTTTAAGGAGGCGAACTAGGACAATAATTCCTCATGATTCCTCTGCCCTGTTGAGTCAGCTGAGACAGGAAGAGCTGCGCCGTGACCGTGAACAGCGTAAACAGCAGATAACTGATCGGAAGGCTGTTCAAGAGGCACAGCTCCAGGAAATCTTGGACTGGGAAACTTCTATCTTGGATAGCAAAGGAGACTATATGAGGGCCATGTGGGAGGTTTGTAAGAGTGTCAAAATAAAGCTTTGATGGACATTTAACTAAGAAAGATTTGGATGGAAATTTAAAGGTTAACGCATGTATCTCATTTGACCCTGAGTACCGACAGAGGAGAGAACATATTTTATTTGTTGTCTTTTTCTTTTTAAATTCACCAAGAGTTTGGTAAATAAAAGTACTTATTTAAAGAGACAGAAATTAAGTGCCACATCTACATTATGACCTCTCCCCCCTAAATATGATATGGTATCGTTGAGCATGCTACAGTGCTATGTCCGTCTTGAACATCCGTTTGAAATTAAACATATTGGCTTAAAAAAAATCTGGGGAGAACCCTGAGGAACTATTCCCACCTTTGAATTCAGGGGTGAATGAGTTAATAACATTTGGTAAATGTTGATTTTTTTAATATTTTATTGCAGCTGCCCCAAATTGGTCAATTTTTGTTCCTGTGTCAGGATGCTCTTAATATCGGAGAAATTCCCCAGTTTGAGTTGGAGCGGTGCTTCTACATGCCTCGAGAAAGTGCAGTCATGCAGAAAGTCATGACAGCTCTACTTAGTACTCCCTTCCAGAGAATGAAGTAAGTATCAATAATGGCCTTTAAGGGAAAATAATGTTTAAAATATTAATCTGTAATGTGAACTTCACTGTTAATTCAGAACAGTATTTAAGTATTTGTGTTTTATTTTGAGTATGTTCAAATTTTATTATAATTTTTGTAAAAAATAAAATAACACATGGACGATTTTGTGCCTTGGGCTAGTATAGTGCAATAGAAGAAAGTACCAACCATTGTCTCATTGTCAGGTTCTGCATGGTCTTTAGCCGAATTAATTTCAGAAATATATTTAAGACAAAAAAATAATTAAAATGTTTATTATTGAATAAAATAATAATCATGAAAATGTTGTGTTACCAGAATTGACAAGAAGACCTTGATGCCATACAGTATTTGGGATGAGAAATTGAGGCTTAGACTGAGGCAGTGGTACAAAATATTTGTAGACAGCCATGAGGATGTACAAAAGGTCTGGTGTGATTTATTATATACTTGAATTCAGACACTTTATGAAAAATGATTAACAAAGAAAATAATTTATTGATAAAAATGGAAGTGTCCAGAATAGTAGATTTAGTAGAAGCATCCATGTGTTGTATCATTTCAAACTGACCAGTCAATCAACAATTCAGTTAAATCTGTTCACTGTATTGTTTACTATGGGTCATACTATATCATGCTTTGTACCATTTCTCCAGAAATTCCACGAGTCGCATAACAAATCTACGAGTATAGCACTTTGGGACACGTTTTAGATTGTGGATTTATTTTGATACTGAATGAATGATCTTAATCTTATAAATAATATAATTTTATTTAATGAAATTAAAGTTGTGGTATATAAAGTTGAGAGGAAACGTTTTGAAACCTGTTACCCTTTCTTCCATAATATTACTGGATAGCTGTGGTTATTTACAAAATTAATGCCTTTTTGAGTATGACTAAAATGTGAAGTAGTTGGAAACAGGATTTCTATAAAATAATTGGTTATTACTTTACAGACTGCAGTTAAACTAGGAATAGATGGCCATTTCTTTGATATAGTTGGTAAGTATAGGTCGTGCTTGGTCTAAAACTAGTGTGATAACACTATTAGAAGCCACCAACACTTGCCCATGAGATGGTAGGTTTATCATTGTTGTACTGATAGGCTTGGCTTGGTCTATGTGGTGGGCAACTAAAGTGAGCCTTACATTGTATTGATTTTGTTCAGTTTTGGTTTAAGTATGTCTTGTCTGTGTTAAATGATATTTGTGTTGATCTGTTCATTTCATGCCTTTTTCTAATCATTATAAACACAATGAAGGACATTGTTGCTGGTATCATATCTTCCTTATTTTACACAAAGTCAACTTGTAAAGTGCATGCTTTATTTTTCAAGAGCCAGTATTCGTAGAGCTGTCCGAAAAATAATCTATTGATGAGAATTAGAGATTTATATATATAGTATACGATGTACATAAAATACAAAATATATCTCTCATACCAACATCCTTACATTTATCAGATAAATTAAATACAACACGAACCAGGATAATACTTATAGTTGGAGCATGAACTAGTATGTGTATACCAATCTTGGAGAAATATTCATTGTAACCAATACGAGTCCGGAAGAGACACCTTTTTCTTTGAGTGTCATAATTCATTTGATTTCTACCCAAACTTCAAATTGAGAAGTTTTATGTCCGTCAAAAGCTCTAATCAGTCAGTTAGGTGAATAACATGTCTGACCATTGAGAAAGTTAAAACAAAATATGCTGACACAAAACAGGTACATCTCGGTACAGAATATTTATTATAGTTATATACAGAAAACCAGGTAACAGGATAAAAAACCAGGTTTGCTATATTGGCATTATTTGTTATAGTTGATGGTCATAAGAGAGAACCTTACCATAAAAGACAACTATGACTTAAAGTCTTTGTAATTTAAGTCAGCATTTACAATAAGGCTGCACTAAGCATGCTTTACTGTGATATCAAAGCAGCTGATGCGACCAAGTTAATAACAGTATAACAATTTCTTGGCAGGCAAGAGAAATCCGTTGGAGCGACGTAAATTCCATGACCTTTGTCCCTACCGAAGAGTTTGGATTGTCAAGTCATTGTGTGACTACTGCCTGGTAAGGGCTATCCCAGAAATAAATATAGCAACCCACATAACCCACTTGTTTTGTTAAATTTCAGTCAATGTACAATTGAAGCATAATAGTCGTTTGTGGTCAGCATACATTTTGTGAATCTTTATTTGTTATAAAAGAGCTTTCAATGACTTAATGTTCGATATCATGTAACTTTGTTGTATATATTTATTTATAAGTTATTTTCTGCAATTTCAGTTTCCTATGATCTGAAAGATCAATGATTAGTTTAAGAATTCAAATAATCAAATAAATCACATGGTCTGGGTTGTTTCAGCTTCCCAACTCAATTTAGGAGTCTTATTAAACAGCTAATATTCTTACAGGAAGATCTAGAGCTGATCAACTCAATGGACTAAAAAATAGCTATGCTAGTTCATGTATGTTGACTAACTTAGCAAGATTCTTTAGCAAAATCACACAGCAAATTACTGCATTATGGTCATCATGTGTGACTGTATTACTGGAGATCGCTGGGCAGTTTTAAAACTGATAAAATAGACCATCTGATAAATACAATCACACCATTTGAATTAAATTGGCATGATTATTTCGAGTCGTTTCACATCTATAAGATAAATTTTTGTATCCTAAACAATAAAAGTATTTACATGTCATCGTGTGGAATAGTCCTCCAGTACTGGTATAGTGTATGTGTTGTCAAGCTATGATAAGCTATTCACATGTATTTGTTTTAATTGAAAAGAAAGAAAAAGACCAGTAAGAATATGAAGAACATTACTTTCTATGTTAAATCTGTAGGAGCACCAGGAATCCATTAGGGACGCTATTGAGTCACAGGCCATCGAGGAGCAGCACGACTACCTACTGGGAGTTGACGCTGATGGAACACGTTACCTCCACTTCCCCCAGTTCTGTGGGGCTGACCTTAGGATCTACAAACAGGAACAAATCCCTGAACCCAAACTCCCTGTTCTAGAAAAAACAAAACCAAAACAAAAGGTTTGCATTGTTTAAAATTGATTGCATCATATTTTTCCTTGCTGAGAAAAACTACCAACAGGTGGTCCTTTTAAAATATACTTCCTTAAGGCTTTTTTAAAATAGATTAATGGTCTTGACTCAGTTGGTCAGGTGTTTGACCATGACCTTAACAAGGTGTTAACTAAAATTTAGATCTTTTCATTGTTATTGAAATTACATTTGAAAACTTCATTTGTCAGAATTTAAATGATCATTAAAAGACACAGTACCTGAACAATATTGAATGTACAAATTTTTGAAAGTTTGAATCAAACTCTGGGCCCAGTATTTGGTTCTTGTAGAAACAATATAGAGGTAGGCCCTGACAATTGGTACCTAAAGAAATAAACAAAATAGTTGGGAAGGCTGCTCACTGTTATGCCGTGGTGTACTCATGGTCAGACAGCTATGATGAAAAGGGGTTGAAGCTGTTTTTCCAACTGTGGTCTGTTTTTGAGTTTTTGGACTCAAGATGGCTGTTGTGGCATCTTATTGCTGGTACGATTATAATTATAATTTGTCCTATACTGGGCTGGTTTTATTTGTACTTTATAGGTGTATAATATATGGGTATATTTTACACCAAATAAGAAAAAAAATAGTTTCGAGGTTCAATATGGCTGCCATGGCTTCTGATATGTTGTAACATTGATGCTGGTAAGATGAGTTTCATTTGGGAGAATTCAAATGGTTTCTTTGTCTGCAGTATAGGGGACAATTGTTTCAGATGTGTAAAAAGTTAGCAGAGTTTGAAAACAAATCTAATTTCTGATTTTGGTAGAAACACCACAGCACAATGATTAAATTAGAGGTTGATGAGGTTTGTTTTAAACGTTGGCATCCTGTTTTATAGGAAAAAGAACCAGAACGAATGGCGATAGATACCGAAACAAATAAAGCACAGAGCTCAAAGAAAGCAAAGAAAAAGAGAAAGAAGCTTAAGCCAGAAGTACCTGCTCCTCCTACAAATAGGCCAAGCCGACTTCGACAGGTAAACCATGTCCATTTAGAATTACTGGACCTATTTTACTTTTTCCAGTTAGACAGTCATCCATAAATACAGAATATCGCATCATCAAAGACATTTGATAGAAACTGTTTCATAATTTTGTTGAAATGTTTTCATTTATGCAAAAGAAATAGCAAAAATTATAGGGAAATGCATTTTTTCGTACTTATAATCAATTGCATTTAATTTTTATTTTTTTTCTGGTTTTATATTTTCAGAAAATCAAAACTGTGTTACCTGTTCGAAATTATTCATCTTCACCCTCATCTTCTGATGACGAGGAGGATGGTTGTGATGAAAGCGATGGGTCTGATGCTAATACAAGGACTAGTTTTGGAGATCAGAGTGACTTAAATCTTAATGACAGTGGGATATGTGATGGTACGCCCAAAAAACGGAACAGTGAGCCTCCAAACAAACCCCTACAGCGACTGATGGAGAGTGACAACTGTAGCGACACTTCATCTGTAGATGGAGAGGGTGCTTGTAAGCGGTCTCGAACTCGCAGGCTGGTGCGGAATGGGTTGTTACGAGAGCTCAATGTTTCAGAACAGTCATTAGACGAAAGTTCCATGGATAGAGATGAGACTATGTCAGAGACGAGTAACACTCTAGACAGTTTAGAAGATAGTAATGGTGCTTGTAAAAATAGCGATATCAAAACAGATGGTAAACATATACAGGACAGGAATGAGACAGAAATGTGTGAAAGTGACACAGATTCCCAAATGTTGCATCCGGTGAGCATGAAGGGAAATGACAACAGTGGTTATGAACCAATGGATGTTAATGAAACAGAATTCCAGGATGGTTTTATAGAGATGGATGCCAAGGGAGACCATCCAAAGGATATAGAAACTACAGATGTAAAACCGTCTCTATTTTGTGATACCCTTTCTGCTCATAATACAGAGTCGCCATCTGATGGCATTGGTACTAGTCAGTTCCTTAAAGTTCCCCAGAACAGTCTAATTATGGCAGAACAGTCCACAAATAGGGACAACATTCAGGACAGTTTGGAACATAAGCTTTCTGAGTGTAACACATCCTTTGACATAAAACCTGAATCAAATACTCCAACATCCAATCCACCTGAAACTGTGGCAAATGTGAAGCATGAGGTGGGGGGTGTAAAAACTGGGAAAAACCTCACACAATCTGATAGAGACAGTAGTGAAACCTCGAGCTGTGATATATCTGACACTTCTGATATTAAAGTGAAAGTAGAAATGACAGAGAAAGATCCTGAACAGGGATTAGGGCAAATGCATGACCATGACTACTCTGGGCAGAGTGGGGTGGGGAAGTTCCTAGACCATGATTATGGCCAGAGCTGTCATGCTGATTTAGACAGGGTAAAGGGTGAAGCAATGGACTGCAAAAGGGAGGAGGAAGAGATTGAGCAGCTGGAGGAAATGGTAAATACTTCTTGATTACAGGGAGTACCTTAGCCTGAGTTTCCTCTGGCCCCTACACCAGACTTAGACATTTTGACAGATACATTGTAGATGTCTGGTGTGGGGCCAGAGCGCACTTTTATATGAAAACGTGGAATTCTCAACACAGTTTGGTATCAGAAATGACTAATCAACCAAATCACGCGGTCCGGAAATCTTCTAAAACAAGAATGATATATTCTGTTTTCAGTCCTCATCAATATGGTTTGTTGATTAGTCATCTTGTGACGTACAAAAATTGGTGTTCGCTCAGGTGGGAAATTTTGAACGATTGAAAATCGAAGACTCTACTGACAGAATTTAGCAGCTGTTGGTGATTATAAGAGCTGATTTGGATCAATAAATAATCCATTTGTTGTTATATGTGAATTATGTGTTCTGTCATAGTAGACCGTGTCGGAGAATTGCACGTTTTTATATATATAGCAGTGTGCTCTGGCCCCACACCAGACATCTGTCAGGGCCAGAGGAAACTCGGGCTAGGAGTACCTATGTGGCATACCTGGTCAAAATCTGAATTAACTGAATAAATAAATAATGCTAAATATATTTGAATCAAATGCAGGTATCTGTATAAACTGAAGCAAAAGCCACTACACCCTTAAATTTAAAAATGTTTTCTTGGCTGATTTTCTTGCGTTTTGGCGGTAAACCAACCATATAAAATCATTTTGGGGCTAAAACTACGAGTTTAAACATACCTATTCACTTTTTCCTTTTCTCAAAACCTTTGCATTCAGAGTGTTGGTTTCATTTCTTCATATGCAAGTTGATAGTTTTGTGCAAGCGATCTAATTTGACTGAACGATATATCTTATAATCTGCCATAAAAGTTTTTAAAGTGAATTCAATATATCTGTATAGTGCTATCTAATTAGGCTGGAATATGGTTCAATGTTACAAAATAGAATGGATAGAATAATTTAGCTATTCTGCATTTTGATAAACATAAGAACTCATGGTACTTTATTTATAAGTATGGTTTTAGGCAAGGATTGGTTGTAACAACAGAAAAAATAATAGTGAATGTGTATGGTACACATCTTGTTTTTTAATATGAACATATTTTTGTTCATGATCAACATGAACAGTGTTCCTTCTTGGAGAAAAATGATTTGTTTGAATTTCATACATGATTTGAACTATTGATGGTTTTCAGTTCCCAGAAATAGGTCCATTTAAACTGGTCGTGGAATGTGTGGAAGACTTGAAGCAGCTGGTGGAATCATTTGCTGAACAGGAACCAATTGTTATTGGTAAAGGAAAGAAACAAAAGGTGAAAAATCTTCTCGTTACATTTCAAAACATTATAACTCAAGAGTGCACCAGAGGCATTGTTTTCCCCAGGAATTTTTTGATGCGCTATGGTATCTATTTTTTGATGCGCTATGGTATCTATTTTTTGATGCGCTATGGTATCTATTTTTTGATGCGCTATGGTATCTATTTTTTGATGCGCTATGGTATCTATTTTTTGATGCGCTATGGTATCTATTTTTTGATGCGCTATGGTATCTATTTTTTGATGCGCTATGGTATCTATTTTTTGATGCGCTATGGTATCTATTTTTTGATGCGCTATGGTATCTATTTTTTGATGCGCTATGGTATCTATTTTTTGATGCGCTATGGTATCTATTTTTTGATGTGCTATGGTATCTATTTTTTGATGTACTATGGTATCTTTTTTTTGATGCGCTATGATATCTATTTTTTGATGCACTATGGTATCTATTTTTTGATGCACTATGGTATCTATTTTTTGATGCGCTATGGTATTTTTTTTTGATGCGCTATGGTATCTATTTTTTGATGCGCTATGGTATCTATTTTTTAACCCTTCCATCGCAGCAAGGAGCTGCCAACCATTTCCGTGTTGTAACCCATCTATCATGCGTGACACCACATTGAGACAGAAAACTCAAAACAAGATAATAATAATTGATGTAGTTAATCTTAAATAAATAGTATTATATAATAATCTTGACATTAGATTATTAATGCTCATTTTCTTGTCCTTTTCTTTTTCTTATCATTATTCTTTTTAATAACTACAAATAAAATAGTCTGACTCAAGAAAATGGATAATTTTAACAAATACTTCAAGTTCATCATAAATCTTTCAAAATATCATCATAGAAATAAATGAATATATGTCTGAGAATGAATAAATCATAATGATATTCCAACAATGCTGTTCTCACTATACTCTTAAAGGGAAATCACGTGAAGAACCATATTCTTTTTTTTATGGATGTATGTGTTGTATGCACCTTGTTATTATTTTACCTTGCTATCCCCATATTCATAGTCCGTTCCAAATGTCCAGTTTGACCACTTGAATTGTTCCGGAAAGCCCTGTTAAAAATAGCACCAATAATGTCACCTAACGGTTTTGAAACGAGGCAGTAAACACAGGCGAGATGCAAAGTTCCCAAAGGGGCCCCCAGAGAGGGGCTGTTGGGCAACTGCAAGTGAAACTTCTTACCGCACTATGAAACCAAGTAATATGATTTCTAAGTCGGTGTTGAAACGTATTGAATCAGTAATTATTCTTCATCATCATCAGTTAATTGCACACATGCGCCAATAACCAGAATTTAAATGAAGAAATATTTGTTAGCATCTCAGCATTATTTATAGACACCAGGAAATATCTATTACAGGAATGTGACCGGTACAAATGGTACAGAGCTAAACACCTTCCTCCAACCAAACCTTTCTGTAAAAAGGAATATTCATGAGCCGAATATCCCTTTTCAAATGTTTTCATAAAGTGTATATATATATATACATTTACTAGTATAAAAAAAGAGAAATGTTTATGATTTCTTTTATTACAACTCAATGTCTTCGGCCACTTTTTTCTAGACCATGCATATATATATATTCATGTATACTCTCTTTCCCACTTTCACTGTCTCTATACACTAACACTTCGTAAGTCAAATTAGGCATCACACACAATAAACTGTATGGCAAAACCACTACGTGTACATGTAGAATATGTGTAAGATATGGAACGTGTTGAGATACTTGATAATGATATGTTTTCAGTACTTTCCATAGATTAAAACATACTTGTAAATGGACCCTTTTTAGGTCCCCTGAGACAAAGTCTCAAGTGACTTATTGCGATCGCCTTTTGTCCGTCGTCGCAGTCTCTGCAGCAGTTTTGAATCTGTTGCGCAAGTGCGACAATCGAATCGCCCTGTCTTGTCGTGCAGTCGTTACACGTGGACGACCACCGCTCCTGAGACGATCGTAACTAACCAAGTAGCACGGAAACGTGTACAGACGGTTAGTTGTACACGGGCCAACACCAAACTGCCGTGTGAAAGCAGTTTGGCTATGACCATCCATCAGCATCGCAATTGCTCTACCCCTCTGAATATGCGTTAAGCGTGGCATCTCGGTCAATGGCAAAATCAAAATGCCAACGTGGAAAATTAATGTGGCTGAACTTAGAGTATCCGTTGAGATTATTTGTTTGAAAAATTCTGGCTTGGCTTGATCACACCGCGTGATTTGGACTAAAGAAGCTCACAAAGTCACACATTGACATCGTCACGCTTGGCTGATTTTAGGGTAGATTGTTGAGAAGGGAGATCGTTCTTGATGTAATACCTGACCAAATATTCCATTATTACCTTACAGCTAAGGTGTACTGCCGGGGGGGAACTTTGTGCGTTTCTTTTTTTGTTCAGTATATGATAGATTGAAGATAACAAAAACAACATAATTTTTACCTACTCTAAAATGATTAAAATCGGTAATCTGTTGTCATGACTGCTGATTTGGTGACAAACACTAGCTTGGCACAGGTAACATTATAACCACCGACGCCGTCTGATCCCGGACAATAGGCTAGGAAGGATCGATAGCTTCAGCGAAAATTATTGACACTTCTCAACACCACAGTTAATACAAATTACAATGCAGTAATTAGCTAACACTCTATCAGTGATTACCGATTAACAATAGGTCTACAGCAATTTAATTGAAATTATTTATAATCGCGATGGAGGGACCATGTTGTTTTCACTCCTCAACAAGTGGCGTGAAGGCCTACTGCACTGTTTGAACTACAGGCTGATTTGACAGTAAAGGGATTATAAAAAATAAGTTTATACTAGAAGCGTGGACATTCAATACATCCCCTTCAAATCTACACAAAGAGAAAAAAATAAAAGTAGAATACACTATTTTTATGATGCTTCATTTTAAAATATTGAAATAATTCACGAGGTTATCGATCACTTGTTAGACGCGAGATCAACATGAAAGTGAGCCGGGAAAAAACATGCACACTAAAGGCTTAGCGATTTGGTAAAACTAACACGAAACGGAGCCTATAATTAAAAACACTACATTTTTATTAGCTCACCTACCCAAAGGGCAAATGTGCTTATGTCATGGTGCGGCATCCCTTGTACGTCCTCGTCCGTCAACATTTCCTTTAAACAAATTCCTCTGAAGAACGGACAGGCCTAGAGTCATGATATTTGGCTGAAAGCTTTTTGACAAAGTTTGAGAACGAAAATTAGTTTGACCTACTTTCAAGGTCACAGGGGTCAAATATGTCAAATGCTTCAAACGACTTCTTCTGAAGAACTGAAGGTATAGAATCTTTATATTTGGCTGGTGGCTTCCTGGGATAGAGCCCGACACAGTGTGAGAATGAAAATGACCTTGACCTTCTTTGTACAGAATGTATTGAATGTCTTTATCATATCATTCCATGCACTTGGCACTGCTAAAATGCATGAAAATCCTTGCTGGTTATAATTATTATCTAAAACAACTAATGTCATTCAATTTTTGTTCGAAGCATATCAGCTAAATGTTTCAGTCCTTGATGTTACAGAAAATTCTTATTGAATTTTTGCTTTTTTATGATTTGATCAGGTGATTAAACCCCCGCCCCGCAAACGTTGTGTGATAGACCTCCATGGGCGGCTCTTGTTCCTGCTGAAGGAGCTGGAGCCATGGGAACAGAAACTCACCCAGGCAACGAGGAAAGCCAGGCTCAAGATGCACAAGGAACAGACTACTTATTTCGAGGAACAAGTTGAGGTACACTCCCTCATATTATCACAGTGTTAAATCTTTTTGCTCTATAGGTTTTAAATGGTGTGCCTATTTAAGTAGGATTGTGGAAAAAGTGATATGTGCTCATAAGTAAATCAATGTCTCCACAGATCCGACTATTACACATTTTAATCTGAACTACTCCTGACGACCAACAACTGCTTTCCCATCCAACATTATAGCATTCATTTTATAGCATTCATTTTAGATAACTTAGTTAAAGTTGTTGGGCAAGTTTGCATGATTGTGCAGTGTTGGATCGGTCACCACCATCAACAGCTGTTGACTATTTCACATTGCCTCATCATCTCTTTTGAAGTGTACAACATGTTAAGGTACAGCAAAACCTCCATTTGTTCAAAGAATTTTTTGCAATAAATTGTGGGAAACATGCAAAGGAATTCTTAAAAAAACATAATTAAGGAACCTGAAAATATGTTTGGAGTAAGCGAGGTGGCAAATGAAATGAAGGGCATGCATAAGCCATTACATCAAGATTTTACTGTACATGTGTTTCTATTGATATTTGCTATCTTACAACATATATCACCAACAGACGAGCTATTTTACAACATATATCACCAACAGGCGAGCTATCTTACAACACATATCACCAACAGACGAGCTATCTTACAACACATATCACCAACAGACGAGCTATCTTACAACA